CGAGAGTCTTCGGATAAAGAGTCGACATGACCCACCATCCGTTCCGATTTGACATGCTCAGGCTTCAAAGCCTCTTGCTGCCATTTTCGTATATCGTCGAACAGATTGGTTTTCATAGTGTCACACCCCGCTAAAGCGGAAACACGAGATGTAACAGGTAAGCGAGTCGCAGCAACAGTTAATAAATAACACCTTTCAAATTTTACAAAATAAAACAAGTTTAACATCAATAACCAAAATGGAATAGTGTACTTCTTATACAAAAACTTCAAATGCGAACTTAATCAGTCTTGCCACAAATATGCTCCCAAAAACTTCATTTCTTACTTAAATTCCTGAAAAGCATGAAACATAAAACAAGGTCAGCTACAAAGAGTTGGTGAGTTCACGGGTTTTCATATGCACAAAACATTACAATGCATAAATCATTTATTTGCAAACATATACATAAACTTTTACACTTAATAAATGTAAATTTACCATGATGCTTAATTTGAGACGCTACTGAGCCTTACCTAACCAACGTGCCCCATTATTTTACGAACAACCATAAGTAGCCYGTACACTTAYTTAGGTCCCACAGTTCGTAGTAGTACTAATTCAGCGATGGTCCAAATTCCACATGATTAGACTAAGAACACATAGGTAATGTGCACCCCTTTCTGGGTGGGACTGTCAACACAATAGCGGCTATCCACAATACCATGGCCCGGGGACATGCCCGAGTTAACAAGTAGCGTTTACGGACGGGGAATTTATTTGGAAACATACTCCCAAGCACATCAATTTAGCATTTATATCATAGTGCAAAACAGTAAACAAAACTTGACTAAACAGTTGTTTAGTCCAACGGTTTTGACTAAATAGTTCTTTAGTCCAAAGATTTTAAACAAAGCATCAACTAAACAGTTCTTTAGTCTAACGGTTATAAATTAAGTATAGTTTGCATAACTTCAAGCTTTTCCCCCAATTCAAATAAACAAAAAGCATTAAAAGTGGGGCCGTGAGAACTCACTGGTTTGATGATGAATATCCAAGAAGATGACGTCTGAAGTTCTCAACGTCTGCCCTACCTTCCTAAACAGACCAACATCCAGTATTTAGTTCACCTATGGGTTCTTGTCAAAGATAAAGTCAAATTGCATCCTATGTTATGCCATCGAATTTTTATGAATTAAAGTTGATATTTTATTATTTATTCTAAAAATAGCCCAAAAATTATATATATTAAAAGAAATCAAAATCYTTTACTCAAAAGCTGATTTTTGGACAGATTATAAATTATGTTCCAGGTATATTTTGGCTTTCACAAATCACTATAAATAGGAACCTTCCAAAAGTCATTTTATGTCCAACTTTTACATCATTCAAAATAATGAGATCAACCGACTATTYSAAAKATCAAGAAATTTGAGTGGGTTTAAGTTACTCATTATTACCCTACAATCTTGAATTACACAGCCCCCAAAACAGATTGCACACTCTTCGAGTGACAGCCATTTGAGGTCTTAACTCCTCATTTTCCAAAGATTTTAACCCTATTTTCAAACTACCAAAAATGGTTAGCCTTCATAAATTATTTTCCGATTTCATTAAATTTTGAAGATGCACAAATCGATTTGAGATGCATGCAAGATTCTTCCATACTTCAAAACATATCTTTACATGATCGGACTTCGCATGCAAAGGGGCATTCTCCTACTTTCTTAAAAATCAAAGAACATGGATCATGRATTATCATCCTTTTTGAAGACATTCTCATGTCTTTGATGAATAATCTCCCCTCTTTAACTCTCCAGAATCTTAACTAAAAGGCCAAGAAGTAGGAGTAGGAGGATGAAAACTTTTGTTATTTTACAAGGGTAAGATAACTAGGATCATACCTTTGTCTTAAAATCTTGAATATTCTTCAAAGATTGACAGAATTTTCCTGAAGACTTGCTTGAAGGAATCGGCTGGAGGGKGGTTTGTTTTAGAGAGAGATTAGAGAGATGAAAAGCTTAGGCTGAGAGAGTTTGGAAATGAGAGTTTTTTCAAAGGATGTGGGGTATTTATATGAGAATTTTAAAGAAGGAAATGGGCTGGCTTCTAAAGGCCCAAACCCAAATAAAACTTTTATTTTTCTTAATATGAATAAACCCACTATATAATTTACCCAAACATAAATAAAATGACACTATTAATTCCAAAACTCCACCTTTTGATAAATTATGT